AGATGGCCCCGCCCCTCCCTGAGCCTGGTTCTGCCGGAGGTTTCTTCCTGTTAAAAGGGAGTTTTTCCTTCCCACTGTCGCCAAAGTGCTTGTTCATAGGGGGTCATGTGATTGTTGGGTTTTCCCTGGATTATTGGTCTTTATGGTACAATATAAAGTGCCTTGGGGCGACTGTTGTTGTGATTTGGCGCTGTATAAATAAATTTAGCTGAAAACAAGCTCATTCTTTGATTGGCACTTTGCCTACTTTCACACACACTCTGATGAATGATTTGGGATAAACTCAAGGTTCAGTGTCTTGCCTGAGGATAAGTGCAGGCTAGAGGAGCTGATGATCAGCTAGCCGAATGCATTTGATGTTTTCTGGTCACCACGTCACTGCCACTGTGGTGTAGGCCTGAGTCTTGTGTCACATGCTAAGATGGCACAAGCTAAGGTGAATCAGCCTTGTAACTGATTCAGTCATAATTTCACAGTCTTGGAGGAGTAAATAGGAAGCATTGGAAAGGAGACTGTTGGTTATTGGCCCATTAGTTGTTTTAAAGTGCAGGTTCTCAAAGTGAGGCCCGCTGACTCAGAGCTGAACATCTTGTAACGTCTCACAGTAGGGAGTAGGAGAGAGCACACTTTACCTCCATTCATCTGCAATTCAAGTCAGAATGTATGAAACATTAGAACAAAATGAGACGAGAGCATTTTTTCTTTATTTCAACTATTTATGGGTATAGTTTTGTATTTAATATAGATTTTTCTGTTATCACTAATTATTGTTAATTTTCCCACCAAGAGCCTTGTGGGGAACTTTATTTCAGCCTATTCACAGTTCTGATGATTGGAAGCAAATAATTGAATTTTAAGAGGATGTTTACAAAATTACACTGCAGAACAGCATTCTGGGTAATGCTAGCTAGTCAGCTAACACTGTGCAGCGTGAAGAACAGTGAGGAGGTGGAGGCTGGAGGGAAGAGAGCAGAGACCAGCAAAAGCAAAACGACGCCATTAAATACTCTTTGTGTTAACTCTGGTTTAAAAGCACACACAGTAACATCCAAATCAAATCAATTTATTTATATAGCACTTTTCACAGGATAAAAACCACAAAGTGCTTCACAGTAATA